ATCCATCCATCCATCATCCATCCATCCTATATATCCATCCATCCATCCTATATATCCATCCATCCATCCATCCATCCATCCATCCATCCATCATCCATCCATCCTATATATCCATCCATCCATCCTATATATCCATCCATCCATCCATCCATCCTATATATGCATCCATCCATCATCTATCCAATATATCCATCCATCATCCATCCATCCATCCATCCATCCTATATATGCATCCATCCATCATCTATCCAATATATCCATCCATCCATCCATCCATCCTATATATCCATCCACCCATCCATCCATCAGCCATCCAATATATGCATCCATCCATCATCTATCCAATATATGCATCCATCCATCCATCCTATATATGCATCCATCCATCCATCCATCCATCCATCCATCCATCCATCCATCCATCCATCCATCATCCATCCAATATATGCATCCATCCATCCATCATCCATCCACTCATCCATCCATCCATCCTATATATCCATCCATCCATCCTATATATTCATCCATCCATCCTATATATGCATCCATCCATCTTATATATGCATCCATCCATCCATCCATCCATCCATCCATCCATCCATCCATCCATCAATAACACATTAGCCGTATTAGCCCTGCTGCTTGTGCCCTGCTCTTTATTTACTCTTGTGAGCAGGAGAGTGAGAACAGTCCTTATCACATTTTGTTATTTAACTTGGACAGCAGAGCAGCCGTGGTGCATAATAAAAATGTAAAAAGGCTAGATTAAACCACTACAGCAGTAAATTAATTTAGAGTATAATTATTTTCTTGTATTTTCACCTCCTTATTCTAGTGTTTCTACTGGTACATGTTTGTAGGTAAATGTCATTTGATTTGATTTGACTGTAAAGCAGGTAAAACGTGATTCCAGTGGAATTCCACGTGTGGTCGTGGGCCGTCTGAGTGCTGTGGCATTTTTCCACAGTTATGCAAACAGTGGGTTTGTGGTGACAAGTTTACACACGTGAGTCGGCTAATGTAATAAGCACACAAGTAAACTCCGTATGAATAATTCATAAAGTCGGCACCTCATCTCTGTCCCACAGAAATGAATGGATCGGATGCCTCATAGATAAAATGGTCTTTGATTGATTGGATTGTACAAACAGTGTATCCTCTCCTTCCTTGCCTGCAGAGACAAACATGGCAGAGCATTGTTCCAAAACAGCGTTCTCTCCTTCAGAACCCTTCTAAAGGTCCTTGTCTCCACTCCAGGGCCTGCCAGGCTCCATGAATAACTCTGATCATCAGCAGGATTCAGTCCTTTAAGCCTTCACTGGAAGTCTCACAGTTTCCTTAGAATTACAAACTCTTAGTTTCAGGAAGCTTTTTGAAAACAGACCCTGCTCTTTGATTGTTTTCCTCTAAATTCAGTCTGACAGGTTTTATTATTTCCCAGAATGCAGTTCAGCCTGAGGCTGGGAATGTTTTCAGTGATGGATCGACTCGGGTCGGTGAGTAGAAAACAAAATCATACCGTTCCAAATGCAGCGTGTTTAGCAGAGGAATTAAACCTGTGATCCTCTCGGACAGACTTTGTGCTGGTGTGGGAGGAGCCAAGGAGCATGCAGGAGGAGAGCATGGGTGTTAGCCCTGCCCACCGCCGGTGGAGGGAGGAGTTTCTGAAAAGACTGAGACACTCTGGACTTCTGCAGGAACAGGTAAGCTAAACAAACACAGGTGAGTCTGCAGGTAAGGCAAACATGGAGGAAGTGAAACTAAACTGTCACATGACCCACATGCCACCTTCACTTTGGATATCAGGAAATAAATAACAGACATTATATAGACAATAACAGACATAATTGTATCATTGGCTTACTGATGATGTGCTTCTATGTGTTTCTGTTTGATGGATGGAAGCTAACCAGCAGCTAAATGCACCTTTCAATCAATCAATCAATACTTTATTTATATTATAGCTCATTGAAAAGACCAGAGGTGCTCCAAAGTGTTTCTCAATAGTAAAATATGAAATCAAATTTATTACATATGGGTACAGATGCATAGAGTACAAATACATTTCCAGACAAAACAAAGCACTAATTAACCCAGGAGTACTAGTTATGATGTTGAAAGGAGGTGAAGGACGCTGAGCTCTTTTCTTCTTCTCTGCAGAAGGAGGTCCTCCAGACAAAGAAGAGGATCTGTTTTGTCCTCCTCAGCGCTCCATGGAGCGTGCTCTGTTACTACGCTGAGGAGATCAGCCTCAGAGTCCCACTGCAGGTACAGCCCACGTCCTCTGCCGCCGTCCTCACGCTCAGCAGCCATCTCACGGCGTGTCCTCTGTTCTCCTGCAGGTGGTCACCGCCCCCATCGTTAACTGGTCCGAACAGATCCTGTCCAAGCTGTCTCTTCCCAACCTTATGTCCCAGGACGTCCCCAACCCCCCGCCCGACTACTACACCTGCCAGTTCAGGACCAACAAGCTGGAGAGGTACAAACACTCAGGACCTGAGTCCCGTGTCACCCTCTTCCTCGTCCTTCACTCTCCCTGTTTCCTGCCTGCAGGTTTTTGGGCAGCGACAACAAAGACACGTTCTTCAAGACGACCCAGAGACACCAGGTGGTGAGTGAAGAAAACAAAACGGTCTCGAGGAACTCGTGGCCGTGCACTTCACTGTGGTGCATGTAGAAATGAAAACTGAATGTTTATGGTGTATTTTAGGATAGTTTGACTATTTCAGAGGACAAATCCAGAACAGAGAAACAGACAAATAAATGTTAATATTTCAAAAAATCTTTAAACATAAATACACAAACCAACATCTAAGAGTTTTTAACCCAAAGAACCTGAAAGTGTGAATTTAAGATTTCTTGTGCTGCTTCATTAATGACACAAAACCCGAGCAGACGGGAACTGTGTGTTTGGTCGTGTTGGGAAAGTTTCCAGCGCTTCAACAAACTGAGCTGAGAGCGAGCTGCTCTGATTGGCTCAAAGGCAGAAATACCAGCGAAGCAGATCCAGGATGTATCGGTCAACAGACGGATGCTGGCAGCGGCAACGCCTCCTCCTCAAACAAACTCGACAAACACACACACACAAATGTCCGTGTGTGTAGCACTTTATTTTATGAGTCTGTACTTCCTTAACAATCCACTGAAGTTTCCTGAAAACAACACAAACATGTTTCTGTGGTTCTGAGTGGAGATGGCTGTGGTGTTCTGCAGTGTCCTGGAGGCTCTGTTTCTATTAATGCTAAAAGTTTCACGGAAACAAAGTTTCAGCCCTAGACATGGTTATGCTAGCTTAGCTGAGTCCCTTGAAACCCTCGTGTCCCTCTAGCTGTACGAGATCTTAGCCAGGACTCCATATGGTTCGGTGAAGAACGGGGAGGTGGGCGTCGACCGTCTGCTGAACGAGCAGGTCTTCACTGCCGCCTACCCGCTGCACGAGGTGAGATGTGCACCACGAGCCTGGTCTGAAGCTGCTGTGATTCCCAGACTGAAGCCCAGGCTGATGTTTGATACCATGTTTGCAGGGACATTATCAGCTGCCGACCCCCCCGGTCAGTCCCCAGAGTTTAAGCCTGAGGCAGATCCTGTATGCTTACTGGGCCCAGTGGTCCTGCTGTAGACACTACCAACCTCTGGACCACATCAGGGAGTACTTTGGGGAGAAGATCGCACTTTATTTTGCCTGGTTAGGTAAATATGAGGAAAATACCTCCGATGTTATACCGTTATTTGGTGACAAGCGTCTCACAGTGTCTGCATGCAGGCTTCTACACCGGCTGGCTGCTGCCGGCGTCTGTCGTCGGGACGGTGATCTTCCTGATCGGGTTTTGGCTCGTGGCCACCGACGTTCCAGCGTGAGTACAAACTCATCGTCAGCGTTCATTTTAAAGCAGTTTGTGAGGACATGCTCACTCGTCATGGTTGATGCACCTGTGGTGATCTGTGTTTGAATTTGTAGGAACGAGTTGTGTGGTAGCGGAAACAGCTTCATCATGTGTCCGCTCTGTAATATCTGCTCCTACTGGAACTACTCCAGCATCTGCGTCACCTACAAGGTACCTGCCACCACCACACCTCTCACATTTATTTAAATGTTTCCGTTCTCTGGGAAAACACAGGGCGAGGCAAAGCAGCCATGTTCCTTATTCCAGCATATATTCATGCATCACTCATCTCGCTGATCTCTGTGAGATGGATCGTGGACGTTTCTTCAGAGGTTTCTGTTTCCTGATACGTCACCTGGCAGATTAATAGTTGGGCAGTTTAAAAGTGGACAGCAGTAGACAACTCTGTCCTCTGACCTCATCAGGTCCTCTGAGCTAAATGTTTGGAAACCAGCACAGGATGATGTTACTGAGCCATCTGTGTATCCACCACTCTGAAAGGCTGCTTGTGTCTCTGCAGGCAGGTCTGCTGTTTGATAACGGAGGAACCGTTTTCCTCAGTGTCTTCATGTCTCTGTGGGCCATCACCTTCCTCGAGTACTGGAAGAGAACATGTTCATCTTTGTCTCACCGCTGGGACTGCTCCGAATTCCAGGACATCGAGGTGCGAAGCCATCGCTAAGTTAACCAGGGGATTGTTTCGGGAGGTTTGTGAATTTGTGAATTTCACATCTTTGGCAGGAGCGACCTCGTCCAGAGTTCACCGCCATGGCACCGATGACCATGAGGAACCCGGTGACCGGAGTGGAGGAGCCGTATTTTCCTGAAAATAAGCGGTTCAACAGAACTCTGACTGGCTGCATGGTCATCATCATCATGGTGAGTTTCCTGAAGTCCTCGTAGCCAACACAGTCTAACACGCACGTCCACCCGATCTAAGGTCACGGCTTCCACAGGTGTAAGATGATTATTGCGTGATGCTGCCAGCAGAGGGTAGCGTCGTTTCCCACAGTGGCCCCTCCTCCATCCTGCTCTGGAGCTGGCATTCACTCCCGCCTCCAACATGTGAAACAGTTCTTGTTTGGGGGTCAGCGCTGACATCACTGTGATGGAAAGGAGCTGCAGGTTGGAACCATCAGGGACTGTGGGTGATGCTAATTCAGATTCTGTCCAGCCTGTTATAATGTGGTCTCCATCTATGACCACAACTCCAAAGAAGTTGGGACACTGAGTCAAACACAAATAAAAATATCATGCAGTGATTCGCAAATCTCACAAAGTCTCGTTTTATTGCCAGTAGCACATGTAGTGCTTAAACTGAAACACATCCTGTTGGATGTGATGGAGAACAGAGCACCTTGAAGCCACATGTGACCAAGATGGACAAACGGCGCCGTCTCCTCTGGGCCAAAACAGATCTGAGGTCAGACACATCCAAACATGGACGCCGAAGCCTTGGGCTGAAGAGGAGAGCTAGCGTTCAGCTGGGGGGGGGGGCGTCAGTGTCCATGGAACTGACAGCTGGCACATCTGGAAAGGCTCCATCAGTGCTGAAAGGTGTAAAGTGGTGTTAGAGCAACATCTGCTCCATGCAGATGTTTCTCAGGAAGGTCTTTGTGTTTGAGCCGGACGACGCTGAACAGCAGACTGCTTCTATAACAGCCTTACGGCTTTAAAAAATCACTTCCCGATGTTTTTATTCACATTTACAGCCTCAGTGGGGACAAAGATGTTAACACCCACCATCAGCTGTACGTTAGACGAGCAGCAGGTCTCCTACGAGCTTTCTGGCCTCACGTTTCTTCTGTTAGCACGTTTATGTTTGGGTTTGCTGCAGAGGAGAAAATTAGCCAACCTGAAGCAGCTGCTGTTGCCTGTGTGCATGTTAGCAGGTTCATTAAGTTCATGATGTCATGCTTGACAGATCCATATCTGGCCAATGAGATTTCTCTCCCATATGCTAACCAGTCAGTGTGCATCTACATTTATGAATCTGTCTGTGTCTCTACCTTAAATGAAATCAGGTGTCAGTGGATAAAAGGTCTGAAATGACTTCTTCCGCGCAGGTCGCTGTGGTGTTGATTTTTCTCACGGCCATCATTTTGTATCGCACCATCCTCAGCATCATCATCTACAAGTCAGAGTACAGCTTCTTCAGCTTCTCTGTGAGTAAGAGGCAGCTCGCCTGCCTTCACCTGGGTCCACAAAGCTTACCCGAGGACTGCAATATCACTGACACCACCACACCTGTGTGTGTGTGTGTGTGTGTGTGTGTGTGTGTGTGTGTGTGTGTGTGTGTGTGTTTAGGCTGGGAGAATAGCCAGTTTCTCAGGGTCAGTGTTGAATCTGCTGGTCATCCTTCTGCTGTCCAGGATTTACACCGCCCTGGCCCACATCCTCACCCGCTGGGGTGAGTCTCCCTCCACGTCTCAGCCTCGTTTAAAGAAACTTTACACATTTTCATAAACTGTAGAATTCTGTGAAGATGTCTGATCTTTCTGAGACCAGTTTATGAATATTTTAGGAAGTCTAAGAACTTTTAGTTGATAACAAATAACAGCTGCTAACGAGCTTTTACTAAGTAATCTTGGTTTTTATAATAGACAAATTTAATTTGGCGCCATGATCTTCATTTCATCTGAAGGTGTGTGTGTGTGTGTACTTGTTTAGACATCTTTGTGGGGACCAACAGTCACTTATGGGGTTTGAAGCATTTTTGACTCAAAATGTGGTTTTAGTGTCAGGGTCAGGTTATGGTTAGGATTAGGCATGGTTAGGGTAAGCAGCTGGGATAAGCATTATGTCAATGAGATGTCCTCACTAAGATATGAAAACGAGAATACGTGTGTGTCTGTGTGTTGCTGTCAGAGATGCATCGCACTCAGACGAAATACGAAGACATGTTCATCCTGAAAGTTTTCGTCTTCCAGTTTGTTAACTTCTACTCGTCTCCGGTCTACATCGCCTTCTTCAAAGGCAGGTGAGAGCCAGCGCAGAGCAGGCTGATCATTGAACTGATGGACTCGCCTCGGCTGGTTTGTAAAACCTGCTGATTGGTTGTTTGTTTCAGGTTCATTGGCTACCCTGGAAATTACAACACTTTGTTTGGAGTCCGCAACGAAGACGTGAGTTGATGATTGTGGTCATGTGATGATGATGTGACGATTACAGAGAAGTTGTCATGCGCCGCGACGCTCGTGCACAAAAGGGTCCAGACGCAGACTCAAGCGCTAGCAGAAAATGACACTTTATTATAGCAACAAAAACCAGAACCAGAGGAGCAAAACGAGGAACTAAAAAACCCGGGGAAACAGTGACGCGAGGAACCGTGGGAGGCTGCAACAGAAAGGGGAGAAGATTACCAGGAGCCGGGAAGCGGGGCAAACGCATCAAGACTGAGTTAGACTAGTTGGCTTACAATTAGAGCGGGACCGTGGGAGCTCGGGAGGGACGTCCGTGAGAAGGGAATCCGTGGAGGTAGTGGATGGGCCAGATGACGCACCGGGTGATCCAACTGGGCAGGAGGACAGGCAGGTGGCAGACGCTGAACGCCGGATCGAAACCTAGACACAAGTAGGCAGATTTAACGCAGCTCCAACGAGATATTAATGCAACGCTTTTGCGGGAGTCTAGTTGCCACAGAGACGTGATTAACGGGCTGGCGTGGAGCCTCCGTCAGTGCCGGGCTAAGTAGCTCTTCGGGTAATCACCCCGATGGAGAGCAGGTGTGCCGGTGATGGCCCAGCCCGGGGGCGTGGCTACCCGAGCATCACACATTCCACACGCAGGACCACGGACCGTGACAGTAGCATCAGATCTCTGCATGGAGACCTTAGGTCAGACACAGTTTTTCAATGATGCTGTGAGTGCTCACAGACCATTTCAAACAACTGCTTTCCAAAGGGGGACACAAAGCACCCAGAGCAGCATGTGTGAAGTTATAGTAGGGTACCTGCTGATCCATCAGCTGAGCTGCTCGCAGCTGCATGAATAGATGAACCACTAAACTCCGCCTCTCTGGCTGTGTGTTACAGTGTGGAGCAGGTGGATGTCTCATTGATCTGGCTCAGGAGCTGCTGGTCATCATGGTGGGAAAACAGCTGATCAACAACATCCAGGAGTTCATTTCCCCGTAAACAGACACACACAGATACACAACAAAGTGCACGAGAACAGACTGCATCCTGGTGCCAGTGTCTCTCACAACAGTGATGCATAACGCACAGTTATGTGGATTTGTGTCACCGAGCGCAGTCTCGCTTTGCAATGATGTGGGCTCGTTACTTGCAGGAAGGTGAAGTCATGGTGGCAGAAGAGGAAGCTGAATCCTCAGCTGAAGGAGGCGGGACAGGAGGCCCAGAGGCAGGAGGAGGCTTCTCCCTGGGAGGCAGACTACCAGCTGCTGGTCTGTGAGGGACTCTTCAGCGAATACCTGGAGATGGGTGAGTCCCAGGTTTATCCTCACATCCTGAGAGTTTCATACGAGTCTGGTCTTCACTGTAAATCCTCCTCATCTTTCACAGTGATTCAGTTTGGGTTCATCACCATCTTCGTGGCGGCATGCCCCCTCGCTCCTCTCTTCGCCCTCATTAATAACTGGGTGGAGGTCCGTCTGGATGCTCAGAAGTTTGTGACTGAATACCGTCGCCCGGTGGTAGAGCGAGCTCAGGACATCGGCATCTGGTTTCCCATCCTGCAGTTCATCGCACACATGGCCGTCCTGAGCAACGTAAGACTGTTTTGGTGTTTTTACGTATGGACGAACAGGTAACGCTTGTGGTGTCCTCGGATCAAAAATGGTCCCTAGGTGAATGGCAAACAAGCATATGCGAATTCCAACCCCGCCGATGTCACTCTCACCTGTTTGGCTGTAAAAGCCCAATTTGTATTTCCAAATTTTGCTCAAAACATACGTTTTGTTCGCACCACAACAATAAATCATGAGTCTATAAATGAGCCGCCAACGAATCTGGACTTGTATTTTCAGGCGTTCCTCATAGCGTTTACGTCATCCTTTGTGCCTCGACTGTACTACCGCTACACCAGAGACAGCACACTCAGTGGCTTCATCAACTTCACTCTGGCTACATCACCGCTCAGCTACCAGCAACAGCACAACACATCCTGCAGGTAAGCATCTGCACCACAACACCATCACCGAGAACCGCATGGGCCGGCTGAGCCCGGTCGGGCAGTTATGGACTTCATTTGAGCACCAAAACAGTCTCAGTCATATGATCATACAAGACCAGACATCTCAGCAGCTTTGAGGTTGGGCTCAAAAGTGAAATGTCAAGTTTTCAAAGAAAGAACTTTGATTAGAAACTAAATCTAAAGCACGATAGCAAAGTGTCCCGACTGTTTTAACTCCACGTCAGTAGCCACATCTTTGTGTGCCTCACACTTGTGAGCTCATCACTGCCAGGTCAACACTTCATCTTAATACATCCTCTGTGGTCATTAGCCACGTTATAGACTCTTCATATGGCACATAATGGAACAGGAATATCATTTATATGTAGATGCACATCTCCCCTGACCAAGTAATGTTTGGGCTCAAACTGGGCTCTGTCTAACATTACGTTCAGCTAATGTGGGACTGGAAGTAGATTACATTAGACTTACTGGTCCCACATGATCACAACACAGTGGTTGTCATGATCAGAGTTCGTGGAGGTCACGATGGGCCTGCCCAAGCTTAAAATGGGTGGACGCCTTTTTTCTAGATGTGTTTTCAATGAGATCCAAAGACAATTCAGTTTTATTTACACAGCGCCAAATCACAACAACAGTCGCCTCAAGGTGCTTTATACTGTAAGGCAGACCCTACAATGATACATACAGAGAAAAACTCCACAATATGACCCCCTATGAGCAGCACTTTGGCAACAGTGGGAAGGAAAAACTCCCTTTTAACAGGAAGAAACCTCTGACAGAACCAGACTCAGGGAGGGCGGTGAGATGAGGAAGACAGGACAAAGACATGCTGAGGAAGAGAGACGGCAGACAACTTTTTACGTTTTTATTTGACAACCTAATCTTGACGTCACCTTTCATTTAACATTTGGTTGGTAGGAACAAAATCCTGAGGACAAATTCACTGCTGCCGTTAATGTTTCGAGTGCTGTAGAGGAACCAGAGAGCGTCTGAATGTTTACTGCAGCTCATTTTAGTTATTCTGCAAATTTAAAATGCTGGTGGCGTCATAATATAGTGGTTTACAGCTCTGCGGTTAAGTCCCAGCAGGAGACACAGAGCCTTTGTGTCTGAAATGTATCGGGAGTGAAACTGTGCCACGTGAAATCGTCGAAGCTACCTGCTGTGAACGAGTAGCACAGTACCTACTGCAGGCGATCGACGCGTCGTTATCGTCCACAGGTATTGGGCTTTCAGGGATGAAAATGGTGAATACCTGCCAGAGTACTTCCACCTCCTCGCTATACGGCTCGGTTTCGTCATCATCTTTGAGGTCAGTGTCTCTCAGACTTCACTGAACCCCGAGCGGTCTGTGAACTGCTGATCGGCAGTCCGCACATTGAAGACTTGTCCCGTTTTTCTTCCTCAGCACGTAGTCTTCTTCATCGGCCGCTTAATAGATTTGATGGTTCCTGATGTGTCCGAAGAGGTGGAGATGAAGATAAAGAGGGAGCACTACATGGCTAAAGAGGCTCTGGCTGAGAACCAGGTATCAAAGTTAACAGAGTGTCACATGACGGTTTGTCTCGCAGTTTGTTTACTATCGTGTTCTATGCCTGCAGTCTCTGGGGAAGACCATGATTCCTGGGAATGGGGAAGCCCCGCCCAGTGAACTGCGACAGCGTAGATCCAGAATCTCTCCACAGGAGAGCGACCCACCGTCACCGAACCTGGAGGAGATCGCAGAGGAGACTGAAGCAATATTCAGCTCCTAAGACGAAGCTCAGGTGGACTTGGGCTCCAACACTCAACGCTCGTTTTTAACCACTGGCTGCTTATCACTGTGCCTGTCATCAAATAACTCTTTAACTGTAACTTACTATTTTCAAAACTTGCCATGTTTGTTGTAATTGAAGTTTCTGAGTTAAATGCTAAATGTTGCTCAGCAGCACCTGATGGGAGGCAGTTAGCGACAGCGCTGTAACATGAGCTGGGCTTTTTCATGTAATGAACATTTGGATATCTGTTACACATAAACTTATACATATCCAATAGGGGTGCAGCGATACTCGTATCGATATTGAACCGTTCGATACAGTGCTTTCGGTTCCGTACGCATATGTATCGAACAATACAACATTTTTAATTATTTTATCAACTTTCCTTCTGACGATGCTGTCTGTGTTGAGCGCTCAGTGGATCTGCGCTCGACAGTGCAGCCTAGGCGGAGTAGTCGAACGCAGATTCACTGAGCGCAGGGCAAGCTAGCGAGACAGAAGTTAAGCTCTC